GATTGATGATGATGTGGTTTTATAATTACACCTGGAGTTATGCATAAACACATTAGACATTCACAAAGACATGGGAGGGGCAGATTGCTTCACGGGGGAAGGGTTTAAATAAAGGTTTGACATTTTGGAAAACACATTTTTTTCACATTTTCATTAAGAGAGAGATGAACAGATTAAAATCATTCAGAATTATTGTTTAGATGGGATCCGACAAAAACACACATTTTGTGCTCTTGTCACTGTTGTAGATTAAGAAGGAGAATTATGAAAATCTGGATTAAGGCTAGATTTAACAACCGATGTTGCTGCATTGGTGGTTTGATCACTGTCAGTCAGATCATTTTTGGGACATTTTACGCCTTTATTTAGAGATAGGACAGAGTCAGAAATCGGGGGAATGACATGTAGGAAAGGAGCCACAGGTCAGATTTGAACCCTTCCTGCCCGCTCAGAGGACTACAGCCTCTGTACATGAAGCGTGCGCACTAACCACTAGGCTTCAAGTGCTCCACTGTCAGTCAGACCTGACAGTCCTGATGAAGCAACTGAGTGTAAGCATTGACCTTTTTACTCACTGAGTTAAATCATCACGATGGGAATACACTTTATGCTTTGTTAAACTTTACTTTTTTCTTATAGTGAAACATCGAACATCATGAGGACATATTATAAACTGCATTACAGGCAAGATTAAATGAAAAATGCTCCTAAACAGTTACTAATTACATCCACTGGTAACATCATGAATCTCTTCAAAATGATTGATTGATTCTATTTGATCAAAATGTCATAATGTTTCCAACCTGGCAAAACAATAGAAAACAAAATATGATGTATGCTTGCATAAACTTAACAAAAGTTAAACTTAACGCTCAAACAATTTCATTAAGTAATATGATGACATCCACCTTCAAGCTGCATAGTTAAGACACCTACTAGGTACTATGCCTGCCAGCAGGAGAGCTATTTTAACTTAAACAGAGCATAGCTAGCTGCTCCTTATGACTAATGTAAAAATAATTTTATTATTAGCATTGATCAAATTAAACATTTTTAGCAATAGATTTCCTCTCACTGGTGACACTGAATGACGTCATGTCATCTGTGATTCAATTTGACTTGACCTTCATAAAAACCTGCAAAGCTATAAATACGCATGTACAATGGCAGTGTTAATATGTACGTATTTAATACTCAACTGAATATGGCAGCATCAGAATGAACATACTGACCATTTGAAGTTTGAATCACCACTGAGTGTTGACCTGTATGAACAGCGATCCATTTGCCTGCTGAAGTGCTTTTGAACAGAAATATTTCCCTACTGACGTATTTTCTGACATGATTGAACAGTGTTGCTGAAACAATAGGGGGAACTACAGAAATCTGGACAAAGCTTATGCTAAACTATGTAAAAATATGTGTGATTTCAAAACACAAGACAAGCAGGACAATGACAAGAGGGATAATCCAAAAGTCTTTTTGTAGATTGAGTCACATCCAGCTTCTTCAAGTTTACTAATTATTTTTTCCAAGTCACATATTTGTAGAAAGACTGAAACCAAGTCCACTATAAACCACTATTTTAAAATGCACAAATATACACGTAAAGGGTTCAGCTGATGGAGAATGTTAGATTCAGCGTTCTTATAATCAACATCACTTTTTGTTTGGTTAAACAAATGAAGAGTGCTTGCAAATTCAATTGGCATCACAGCAACAACAAAAAAAAAGCAGAGAGCTAAAAGAAAAGTATTTGTGTGATGTGAATTCAGGTGCAGAGTAGCATGTTAGTGGAATGTAACTCCTAGGTTGCAAGAAATTGAAAGACTCAACGTATGTTCTATCAAATTGCTCCATGAAAAAAAAAAAAACACCCAACTTCAAACAGTTGCTCACTAACAAGCACAAGCCACACAAATTCCCTGATATCACAGATCTCCAAGAGGGGCCCCGCTCAGCCTGTGTTCTTCATCTCATTTAGCGGAAACATTTCTTTAATGTTCCTGAGCCCTTTGCTGAGGTGAGACAAGAAATTCAAAAGTCGAGTCCTGTTACTTTTTTTTTTTTTTTGCAGATGCAGTTGCTAAGATACTAGCGCGCTTGATGAATCGACTCATTACTTGAAGCAACAGTTTTGTGAGAGTGATTCAAGTTCAGTGCGTCTCTCGCTGAGGAATTTCACTTGGGTATCAGCTTGATAAGGACTGTCAGAAGCACGTTTGAAGCAGAGTCAGCCTCGTGCTAGAATTTAATCACTGAAGGGGGAAGCTCATATTTTGAATTAAAGTTGATTTGTTGACATTCAAAAATAACTAGCTTGTTAGATTGTGCAAGGTATTAATCTAGAAGTAGAAATTCAAAATTAGCGCCTCATTTATGAGATATTAAATGTCTTTAAACCAAAAGCAATCTTTCTGTTTCCTTTCGTGATCTCATCACTGGTGTAGTGAACTCTTTAGTGGTCATTGATTCGTCTTGTGCAGTCCATGCAGGGTCAAGCTGAAACCTTACATGTCTGAGTGGCCTGTCATGATTGTATTCCTGCTTATAAAGGAGGCTTGAATGACCCCCCCCCCCATATTTCTCCTGCATTTGTAGATGAGTTCTCTTGCAGGCCCACTCGTGTTCTACCTCTTGATGTGGTTTTCAGGGTTGCGATACAGTGCCTCTTAATGTGGGTTCAGGCACAAGTGTGAGTGTGAACCTCAGTTAGCCCAAAATTAGGGCGGAGAGAGCTTGACTCAAGACTACCTTCTTAATAATAATCATGTGTGAGAATAATTGCTGTTTGTCAGCCGAATCCATCTTTGAAAATCGGATCTGTATTTCTGGGAGTCATTTAAAACAAAAACAAAAAAGTATGCTTTTAATGTGACAGCTATCAGGTCTTCGATTTCACATTATGTACCTTTTGCTTTTCACAGAAACATTTTGTGTGCAGGTGATGGAATATGCATGTGTCATGCAGTTCTGAAAAACCAGCATGACAGCAAAAAACCACAACATCAAGTGTACTGGTTAGAAAACTTAGCAGGAACTGTGGCATCATTTTGTGTACTGTAATGAACATGATGTGCCTTCAACATATCTTCACTTCTGTTTAAAAAGATGACCAGCACAGCTCTTCCCCCTTTCATTGTACATAAATGAAGCCAAAACCCTCCCCCGACAACGGCCGCTGCATATAGTGCATTTGGAGCCAGAATCTCTGCAGTAGAGAACATAGGTGTTTGTGAATAACACCTTGAAGTTAATGAAATAAGTCTCCTGGATAGTTTAAAGTAACAAACAGATTGAGTGCTGCTTATCTAAAAACATTGTTAGATGCAGCAGGATTGCATTCCTATTCCCTGTCAAAATCTAACGCCAACAATCCCCATAATGCAACTCCGCTGCTGATGTTTCAGTCAGAGTTTGAAGGTGGTTATGTCCGTTGCAGCTAATAAAGCTTAAAGCCGGTAGCCTCCCGTTTTGTAACTTGTAACTTGTCACTTGAGCAAACCAACGCTGACTGAAGTGATAAAACTTTTAATTGCAATTCATCAGATATCCCACAGCAGCCTTTGAAGGCTTCAAAATGTTTTTTTTCTCTCATGTAGAAGCTGCAGCTTATTCAGAATGCCATGTCACTGTAACAAGGATTAAAAAAACAGACCACAGTTCCGGGTTTAAAGAAGCATGATATGAGAATCCAACCAAACACAACAATAGCTTACAGTGCTATTATCAACTGTCAAAGTTGGCATGGTGACCATAAGCAAACCAGTGCCTATTTCCATAATAGCAGACACAGATCAACATTAGCATGAAGCAAATTTTGTGTTTGTGACAACCACCTTAATTTAGTATATGCGCTCATGTTGTTGCACAAAGAAATGTGGGCTCTGCTAAATGCTCGACTATGTGCACCAAATGATTTTTCAATTTGACAGTTAGCTTTTGAGTTAGTGGTCAGTTATTTAATAGTTTGCAACTCAACATGCAGAATCATTTTAAATTTGATGAATTAAACTTATCTTGCTTTATGCATATCTTCAGCCTTAGCCCTTTACTTACAGTAAATCAACTTAGATTTATTAAATCAAAAAGATCACATCTTTCTTAAATATTTAGCTCATTCTGTACTTATGATTCAAGAGAGTGCAGTGACTGGGATGAAGAACCAATCAAGATCAAGTACTCCCAAAGTCCTCCACCCTTGTTCAGGGAAAAACAACCATATAAAAAATATCACAACTTTCAAACCGCACATTACAGGAACTCTTTTCCTGTTTTTCCTATGTTTGAGTACTGCCACACATAACCCCTGGTGACATAAAACTTTTTAACACTCGAGTTTTAGGGTCTTTAATAAGTAATGTAAGAGCCCCCGGTCAAGTTAACAAAACTATATTTAAATAAAAGGAAATAAGCTTCTTGAAAATTCTATATATTATGTCCCATGTGTCTTTGCAGCCGTCTCTTCCCTTTTTTTGGTTCCTTGAGGCCTCCTATTCTTAACATAACAGAATAGGAAAGGCTCCAGGCTTTCTTTTTGCTTTTGCAATCCCACTGGGACTTTTTATGGGAAATATTCCCTGTTTCATTTGATGTTGCTGGTGTTGATATTGTGTTTGAAGTTTGTGCTATTGATGCTTACCCCTGTTGTTTCCCTTGAGACGGTGTCAAAGGCATGGAAAATAATGACGCCCAAATAGAAAAAGAAAAAAAAAAAAAAAAAGTGGAGGGCTGCTGGATGAAATTAGCATAAAATGTGGCTTAGAGGTCAATTGCAGATTTTGAAGACTGTGAGGTCAGATTTGCTCAGACTCAGTCATGCATGAGATAGTGCACCTGCCGAGATGCACCCAGGATCAATTCTACCCAAGATAATGTTTTGTTTTCCTGAACTGCTTCTTGGCTATGCATAACTGCATATGGAAAGACAGGTAGCAAGCTGCAGACTATTTCAGTTGTGCCAGATCAATAAACACTTTGTTTCTCCTTTCTTTCTGAAGAACAACTTGAGGAGGATAAATTGCACAGTAACGGAGGTAAAGTATTGTCATCCGCGCTCAAAAACGCTCATTTGGCTGCTCACTTTTTTGCCTCTGTTGCTCTTTGTTTCTCATTCAAGTCAAAGTTTAGTTTGTCTGGAAGTCGGCTTGTGTTGTGACTCATGCAGCTTTGCCCTGTTCTGTTTTGGCACACTCCTCCATTTTACTCCCCCTCTTCATTCATCCATTCATGCTTAATCTGCTCCTCATCAGCATATTTGAACACCACTGCACCACTAATGCATTTATGTCACATAATAGTAAAGTTAAGTCTTCATTACCCAAATTGAGCACATTTGCTGGTTTTTAATGGCTGCCTGCCGCCTCTCGATTCTGCAATCAAGAAGTAGAGCTAATGGATCTTTTAGAATAAAGTGCATGTAGTGAACCAATTTAGCTTTATTTGATAAAGCATATTAAACAAAAATATCACTGAAATTATGAAAATTATTCATCCCTAAATTTTCTTATTACATTCAGATAGATTTGGTATTTTTTGTTCTGCCTTTTGGTAATGCCTGGCTTTTTACAGGTGTGCATACATTAAATTAGAGATTAGTTACAGAATTGTCTTACGCTTGAATTCTTTCCCATGGCCAGCAGGGGGCAACTACTCTGTTAGTAAAACAAGACTGAAAAGTTGCTAACACAACAGCCTATTAACCAGAATAAGAATAGACACATAATAATGTCTATCCTGTCGTCTAAATCTTGTCACTTCTGACTTCCACAAAACCTCTCAATATGGCGAGGACAATCATGCCAAGTTAAAGGCTTCAAAAGGCATCATAATACATATAAATAAAAGATGTGGGCACGGTCCACTTTTTAAATGTAGTCCATGTTGAGCAACAGCGCGACCAATGTGTAGCGACTTGTTCCTCTGTTGAGAGACAGTCAATTCAGAGTAATTGGGTCTTTTTTTCTGGATAACTTGCGCAAAAGTTTTCAAAATGGCATTATTTGAAAACTGTTATCAACTAAAACATCTCAAACTTGATATCTCAAAACCTTGGAAAGTTTATCGAAAGCTATTTGCATGGCTGCAAACAAACCAAATGTGTTCCTTGGATGCATTTATGCAGTATGTCAGGAGTAATGTTGGTGTTAAACCTGGCTCCCTGTTTGACTTCTTCCAACAGGGAGCCAAGCAAAGCAGGACTGGTCCATCCAATGGCCCACCTCTGAATCGGGCAAAGAAAACACTCCAGTGTGCCAGCCAGAGGCCAGTCAATGGATTCGCTTCCAGCTCTCCCAAAGTCCCAAAGTCCAGTCCAAGAACAACCAGCACATGTGCCACAGCCCCCAAGCCCTGGCCCCCCCTTTATATGCCGATCGACTGACTGTCGACAGCCCCGCCACAGGGCTCTTCCCTCCCCTGGACTTTGGTCATCGCTCCCTGCCCCCATCTCCCCGCCAGAGGCATTTTGGCCACACGCCTCCTCGGACTCCATTGGTGGTCAACACAATGACCCCACCTGGCACACCCCCTATGCGAAGAAGGAACAAAGTCAAGGCCCCAGGAACACCACCTCCCCCAAGCCGCAAGCTCATCCACCTGCTGCCAGGCTTCACTGCTTTGCACCGCAGCAAATCTCACGAGTTCCAGCTGGGGAACCGCTTGGAGGATACACAAACACCAAAGTAAGTGTTAACTCTTCTGGCTTATCAATGCAAACTGTTGTTGCTCTTATGGAGCATTTTATACCCCAAAATATATCACAAATCTTGGCAAAATGTCACACTTTCACTTGAGAGACATTGCAGGAAAAGGGTCTTGTAATGCAGGAAGGAAAACTGATTTAAAAAAGTTTTTTTCTGAGTTACACATGGAATCTGGCTGCACGGTGGTGCAGTGGTTAGTACTGTTGCCTCACAGCGAAGAGGGTCCTGGTTTGAATCCCTGTCGGACAGGGCATCTCTGTGTGGACTTTGCATGTTCTCCCTAAGCACGTATGGGTTCACTTCGGGTACTCTGGCTTCCTCCCACAATCCAAAGACATGCTCATTAGGTTAATTGGTGACTCTAGATTGCCAGTAGGTGTGAATGTGAGTGTGGCTCGTTGTCTGTCTCTTTATGTCAGCCCTGTGATTGACTGGCGAACAGTCCAGGGTATACCCTGCCTCTCGCCCAATGGCAGCTAGGAAAGTGGTATAGATAATGGATGGATGGATAGACACATGGAACCTTCATTTTTAACATTTCGTTTTATTCCAGAACTCTTTCCAAACACACTTCCAAAATGTGCATCATTCATTCATTTTCATTTTGTTTGATATTCTTATTATATTAAGTTTTCTGACTCTTGCTTGTAGACATACTGTATATATTGGAGAGAAAAAAGTGCTATTTCTTTCCATTGACTGTAGTGCAGCTGAAATCACACCAAATGTAAGTACTATTTACTATTTTGTAAAGTGTGTTTGGAATTTTAATGAGTACAACACATGAGTGAAAGAAAGGTTTCTGAATTGTTCAACTGAGTATGTTGAATGTTTCTGCTCTTGCATTGGCATATATTTTATTTTTTTACTCATCCAAAAATCTTAAAATCTTCTTCCTCCTAAATGTTTTACTTATAGATTGAGGGGCACCACATTATGGAAAATATAATCCTAATCTGTTTCCTGCAACAAGATGCCTAAAAAGTTATTTAAATGCTCTAACTAAGCATCTTGTATTGTTATCCATATATCTAAGGTGTATCTGATTTTAAAGTATATATATTATGTTCTATTTGTTTTTTTTGCTCTTCAATCGATAGTGGTGTAAAAAAGATCCAGTGCACATCCAAACACTCACATATAGGTATCTGTATGTTAATTATACATTTCTTGAATTTTTTAGCAAAAAATTGGGAAGGCTGTTAGATGAGCCTTAGATTGATGAGTCTGTAGACGATGCAACTTGATTGAAGTCTTTAGCCAGTTATCTGACAATAGAAGGATGTAGCCTTTAAAGTTGCTAATGTGTCTGGTGAAGGCAGCTGATGTGTAGAATGATAAGATCGCACATAAATTTGCTGTAATTTAGAATAATGACTTCATTGTCCTTATTGCACAATTTCCTTGAGCCAATACTTACTGGTCAGTTGATTTTAGCAGACAGCCTGGCTGAAGTGAACACTCAGAGATGACTACTCTGATCTGTACGAGGTTTAACAGTCTAATTCCATCCGACCCAAGTCGTACTGAGCTGAAGTTAGAGCTCCACCTCTCTTTCTGCCGTTTTTTAAGAGCATACTCTTCCACCAGAGCCCAATCACATTAATTCCATGGACAACATCATTGCCCATAAGAGCCCACGGCTTATCGGTAGAGAGATAAGGGGCCGCAGGGCTGAGTTCCTGACCAGCTCTGCTCAGGTCTGGTACTATGCTGATGAGATTTGGCCACAAACAGGGTCTACCGCTGCTTGGCAATCAGGAACCAGAGTCTGCATCAGGAGAGACGCTCTCATTTTGATAATGCCATTAGACGACAGAGCCCTGTCATTGCTTCACTTGCTAAGTTAATATTTGGGAGTTGTCTTCTGCTTTTTTTATGACGGCCATCTGGGTTACATTTGGTGTGTGCTTGTTTGCAGACTTGTGTGTCTGCCTTTGGGTCCTTGTATCTGCATCCGCACAGTGAGGAGTGGATCATAGTGGCAGTGAAAAGGATCAAACGGCATTAGAGAATTGATTACCGGTCCCTGAGCGCTGATAGTCTACAGGCTGTGAGTTGAGCCATGCTAATCAATGGCCTGTGTGTGCCTGGAAATGTTGCAACTCATTGAGACAGGGCAGATCTGCTGGCTTCTCTGATAGCCAAGTAGCTCTCATAATACATCATAATTGGTTTGAGGACGGTGCTGGCAAGCGTCAGGTCCGGGGGTTTACTTCTGGCACGAGGCACTCGTACTTGTTTACTGCCTTTGTCTTTAAGCAAGGGATCTGCTAATTTACAAAGTTGGCATTCTTGACGCAGAGTAAATACCTGAAGCGAGAATCCTTAACAGACTTAGAATATCTTGAAAGCAAGGAAACCAATAATTGGCTTGTTTTTAATTAAAAGTACTGTGATGAGTTTTTAAACTGATTATGAAACAGACTTAAATTATTACTGAAGATGCAATCAAGACCACCAGAAAGAAGATGAACTATTTCTTTGACACCGTTCCTTCCATATATATGTCCTTATTTAACTAACCTCAGGATTTTAATAAGCTTCCAGTTCTCCTTGTGACCTCATTTTCTCGCTTGCTTAATTGCCTGACACTGTGACCAGCACACAAAAGCCGAGGATTACCCTCTGACCCCATGATATATTTTTCTCCCTTAATCCAATGAGATATGGCCTAAAATGTCATTATCACTACAGAACACTGCACAGGTGAGGCAGAGTGTGAAAAGTGGTACCACACTGACGGAAAACACCGGTTTGGTTTCCGAACCCAAAACAATAGAGGTTTTAATCATGATATGAAATAATGTAACGCTTTTAGCTGTAAACAAGTATTTTCTGCAGTGGCCCTCAAGGTAAAGATGTGTTTTCTAAAACTATAAATGGGATGCAAACACACAGGTCAGCCTGCTTGCACCCAAATCTTTTGACTTCATGGCTTACTATGTACTTGTCAGTGTGATAATGCCATTAGACTTGAAGAGAACCATGGGTAGAAATAATAAACCTTTTCACTGAGGTGTTCAGTAATGTCTATTAATCAAGGATCATCTCTCCTGAGATTGATCTTTTTTCAATTTTTGCTCGTTATAATCCACAGGAACCCTCACTTCATTCACGTGTTGAGAAATTAGGGTCTTGGTTGTGAGAAAGAAGGCCTTTTTTCTCTATCATGGCCTTTTACAGTGTGGGCATTAGCTTGCAAATACATATTTTAATCTATTAAACATTAGAACATTTGATTTCTACTCAGTGTTAGCCATGTCACACAATGCAGATATATCAGTTATTCAATACACTGAATGATATGACAATTTGGTACTACTTTGAAAAATGATTATCAGTCGGAAAACAATAGAAAACATTTTTACGTTAAAATGACGAGGACCTCTAGATGCAATGAGAATGCTGTGTCCCAGTAGCACTGTAGTAAAACAGAATAAATAGCTATTTTCAAGAATGGACTTAATTAATTGTTTCATAACATTGATCTATATCTTCTCCTGGACAAGCATGTATTGTTAACATGGGCTTATAATATCAGTTTGTTTCCTAATAGTCCTTTAATGGAAAGTGACAACACCATTGGCATTCATTTTCTCACTTCGGTTTAACTGATGGGAAGCAGATTCAGCTTGTTCCTATGGTAACAACTCAGACCTAGCATGTAGATGAAGTGTAAAAATAAAACCCTTTTGTATGCCTTTACAAGTATAATATTCTCTCCAATTTGTAGCATATTAACACATTTGTCAGTGATGGTTATCATTCTTTCACAGCTGACGACTAAAGAGTCTCATATCTTTCTTTTTTTGCACTTCATTCCTTTATTAGCATCTGTAACTTACCTGATCGTAGTGCAGTAAAACTCATTTTTAATTGTATAATTGAATCTATTTTCTGTCTAACAAATCCTCTGAAAAAAAACAATTTAAAAGGTTGTTTTTCAGACTCAAACATAAATGTGTTCAGGTGAAGTGTAAGTTTTACACTCTTCCCTCCTGTGTTGGTTTATACCTTATATCATAATGATTGCAAAGTAGGAAAGCACAGCCCCAATCCTGTTGTTTATCAGTATGGAGCGAGGGTCCGAGGAAGTTAAGTCTTAGTATTTAGTGTGATATCAGTCTGATTCTTTCACAGAAATGTAGAAATACTTCAGAAGAGAGCAGTTTAGCATGATGGGTATGTCTCAGGTGTATTAAAAAAATGAAGCTTATATTTGATTTTAATTTTTAATTCCTTCACAGCAGAAGGCTCTCAATGTAATGCAGCAAAACGTGATGTTCCTAAAAGTTTTAAATTGGCTAATTTTGCGATGTGAGCATGAAATTTAAGATAAAATTGATTGCTGGATTTCCCTCATATCTGAAAAGCTTAAAATAATGATGAATGATTGAACAACATTGGAAAAACTTAAGAACAATTGGGTAAATGATGTACTAAAACAGATGTGTTAGACTACAACAATGGATATGAAAGCATAATCACATAGGAGGAGTGCTGAATCTCACCACAGCTGTGGTGAACTGAGTGCCAAAGATAATTACAGATTGCTGATATTCAGTCCAACAGCATGACCCCAAGTATGATATTGCTGTGATACAACAGTTTAACAAACTGCAAAAGAAATATGCTACTATAGATTAATTTGATGTTTATTTAATCATTAATGCCCGCTCTTCCAAGACTCAAACACAATTTGTTTGCAACTTATCTTAAGCTTCTTTCAAACCGCCGAAACATAGACGGATGGATGGATGGATGGATGGGTGGATGGATGGATGGATAGGTGGGATATCCTGTGCATATGTTTCCGACGACCAGATCCTGTCTGTAATTAACCTTATTTGTATGTTTCTCTGCCTCATGCAACCATTGAAACAAGAGTTTAAAACTTTCATTGCCGGCCTGTTTAACTCTCAGGTAGCAACTTAATTCATCTGAACAATAACTGAAATGTTAATAATAATATTAAG